ATTTTCTGATCTCAAATTCAGATCAAGTTAGAGTCGCAATGTCTCCAATCTCATTTATTGCTTTTAGTTAATCGTGGTAAACAGATAGCTATACTTACTCGTATGAAATAGGTACTTTGATAGTAACAAATAGCCAGTTTTGACAAGGATAAAATTGTGGGCTTAAAAACCTGGTACCTACATCCTTAAGGCTATAAAAAGGTCTAACGTAGTAGATTAACTATTTTTTTTCCAATAAACAATAAACAAGTAATTGAAAAACAAAATTATGTCGAGTAGTAGGTACACTTACACTCGACTCGAGTCACATAAAACATTAGAGAGTTAAGAGCGCCAATATCAATTTGATTCACTTATTCGACAATCATAATGAAATTAAAAATTCGCCATTTGTTATGTAGAAATCGCTTTTGTTCGCCGTTAACATGCCAAGCTCTCCTTGATCGCGAATTCGCTTCGAACTTCGCGAGTTATTTCATAATAATAACCAGTGCATTATTGTAATGACTGCTGGAATGAAACGTTATATGAATGCCATGCCGATTTAATTAATGGTGTGTTAAACCATTTTCGTGCCATTGTAAGCATTCAGGTCGATGTTTTACGATGATAACTGGAATGGGTTTCGCGGAATACCGAATAGGTGGGATTCAGCTGATGTTTTTGGATGATAAACATGAAATAATGCTGGCTCCAATATTTGACGTGGTTTTACAAAAATGGGACATCGTAGCGAAGGCTCTGAACGTTTGGCTATAAAGAAATCTTCTGTCTTTTTAATAAACTTCTGTGTCGGGAAAAGCGCTTCATAACCGTTCACTTTGTAAAATTCCGATCAAAAATCTAGTTACCTCGGGACGTTTAGGTACTTCCTTTCAACAAGGCATTTCACTGCGTTACTGCTACCAACCAAAGGTAAAAAGCAAACAAAAATAAACCACACTTTGAAAACAAGTTATTTTAAAAGTAACAAGCCTACTGGAGTTACACAATCGAAACTTCCAACACAATTTTTTTGCTATTAATTCCCCGTTCAACTATGAAGAAGTTTTAAACAAGACTTCGCTCTAACAACGCTAAAAGACAAAAGACATCCAACAAAGGACCTTATTACCCACTTAAATGCATTTCTGGTGACAGCCAATTGAATTGAGGCTAATGAACTCTGCCGGCAAAGCAGGAAACTGCAAATGGGTTACCACGACGAAGGAAGCAACGGCAAAATAAGTTTTCCTACTAATTGGGAAAGATCGAGTTACACCCACGCGAGGGCACACCAATCACATTATACTCTAGTTTTCACAAATTATCTGTGAATATTTTAGCCTAGGCGCAGACCACTGAGTTTTACCTGGCCGATAGTTGACTCGGGCAGTTAATCAGTATGTATAAAATTAGATTAAATTAGATTTTTTTTACAAATTAGAATCGGGCCCAACTATCAGCCGACTACAAGACTTCTGTAGTCTGCGCCTAGGCTAAACTATAAGTAGCTCAGATAAGTAAGTATTAAAATTTAAATTTAGTCACAGGAAATCGCGCTGCACAGGAATTCAATTAAGATTTATCGTAGTAATAAGTTGAGAACAAGTCTTTTTGCTTCGAATCAATTACTAATTTCCTTCCACTAAGTACCTACCGCAGTCCGCAAACCTCTCTGGAAAGGATTTCAATTAATTAGTTGCGTTCAGTTTTATTAATCAAATATGTAATTAAAATTTATAAATTTAATGTTATACAGATCTGCAAACGAGTAGCGCAAATTAATTAGATATACTTACTAAGGCGTAACTTATAAGTAAAGGTTCTGAAACTGGCCAATGCAACCCCAAAATTGCCCAAAAAGCCCTCAATAAAAATACGAAATAAAGTTAAATAAACTTAAGCAAAACCAAAATTAATAAATGTTACCTATTATCTCCTATTTCTATTGATTAATTTCTGTTTACGCAAAACTTAAAATCTGCGGATGTATCATTTACGCAAGCATTGTTTACTAAGCTGACCCATAACGACGTCTGATAACATGTTTACGCGTATCGGGGGCAATTAGCGACTACATATCGGCTTATTGCTGCTCCCCGGGGCGTCATCGATGCCTAATTTATTGCCTTTCTTACGTATGCCACTAATTTAAGATGTCACAGCTTGTACGATCGAGGGTTAAATATAGCATGGCTACAGAGGTTGATATTGATGTTGCATTGTTAAGGCCATCGCGAACTAATGATAGAGTCGCATGAGAGTTTTAAGTCACACGAAAATCGGGTTTACCTACCTACTAATTTGTTACTAATCTAAGAGGTTATTATACTAGTATAACCCCTTTGAAGGAATAGGTCGAGCTTCCTTTGCACCCTGTATAAGAATCTGCGACATTGCTTTTGTATTGGACGACAAATGTTATTCTTTATTTTATTCCTATTCCTATACTGATTTTACAATTTACATAAGTATACACATCATAAATTCTGTTGTCACTTACCAAACACACTGTAACCCTTAAATTGGCTGATTAAAATCCTATAAATCCACGCAACTCGCAGAACGTGTCAAAAGAAACGCTTCTGAACATGTGTTCGGAAGAAAGTTTAAATATGGGTAAAACGCGATCAATCACCAACAATGGGAAGCGGAGGTGCCCCCTAGAGGAAAAAAGTTGAACGGCTGCAGCTGATTTATCGGTGTAGTTAGAATTATCGCCATTTGCAATTCTTGCCGCGGTTCGGCAAACAAGTTTAGATAACGACCTGTGGGCGGGAGAACCTTCTTACTAACTCGCATTCTTCTAAGTTCCGTTGTTGGTTGTAGGGTTGCTCTGTGTGAGGAGATTGGAAAAAGACAGGTTGAACGAAAATAAAATACTTTCTGTAGCAGAAGATAAAACGCCTATTTTGAATTAAAGAACTAGGGACCTAATTATGTTAATTTGCTTTTGTTAAAGGTTTAAATATTTACATGCGTGTCTCAAAGTGCACAAATTAAACTTGATTTGTTAACTTAAAGTATTTATTTAAAGACTTTATTGCACACACAACAATGTTCTGTACAAAAAGGCGAGCTTAATGCCATACGTCATTCTCTACCAGCTGTACAAAGTACAATAATCATCATCATTTCAGTTCTCTGCTGGACACAAGCTTCCCAAAGAGTGATAATAATGTATGACGCTTGTTTGCTATTTTGATAATTAATTAAAGCTATTAACCTCACGTTTTATTTACGAGTTCTATAAAAGTATAGTTCATAAAGAACCTGTTACCCAAAGCCCCACAGCTCAAATGGCTATAATGACTTCAATCTATCTAATCGTCACCCTATACATCCCATAGATGTTCCCATAAAACCGCCTCCTCAAGCATCGAACCTCTGCCCTCGCAGACAGATCACACCCACGGGACCCGAGTTGCTTGAGCAGACTCAACACTTTTTCTCGTTTAGAACTTCGGATTTACGGATAAATCAAATGTGTCACTAATGCTCGCTGCTGTAAAGAATGGTACTGGAAATGTGTTTATTTAAGAAGGCTTTTGTTCGATAAAGTAAGGTACGAGTAATGTAATGTTTTACGAAATGTAGCAGTTTGTACCAAGGATATTTTTATATTTAACGCTCTTTGTAATACAGAATACACACAATGATTGACGAAAAATTAATTTAATAGCTAGCATGCATGCTAATTAAGTCCCTAAAATAGTAGGTACTTAAGTAACCCAACAACTTTTTTCGTCAAAACCCCTCTGACGAGCAGGAGGTATATCTACCCACAGATATGGAAGTGTACCATACTATTATGTGAACCCATTTTAAGTAGCTACTGGTGCAACGGCAATCAACCGTTTAACTAACCCATGTAAAACCATCGTTAAATAACAGGTGGGTCTAAGTTCTAACATGAGTAGTCCACAAAATAGAAGGAACGTCGTCGCTTACACGCAATCTCAAACTATTTGGCGGTAACAAACGATCCCGACAACATAGTTGTAATGACTAGGGTTGAGCTACGTACGCACGTTAAGTTACTACGATTACCAGTATAAATTCCTTTTCAATAAGGTAAATTTTCGCGTGTTTGATAGCAACTAACACAACCTGTCGCTTTCAGTTTCCGTAATTGGTCGGTTCGTCCCACAACCCTCAGTGGCTCGACTTAATGCCCATCAGGTCGTCAAGACCGGAGACATTAACCGCGCTCGTATGGCCGGCGATTATCTTAAAGTTAACCCGTCGTTACGATCCTTATTTGCGGTTGTGGAATAATGGGACCGAACTGTGAACATTTGGTGTTAAGTTAAAGGCACATGAGGATACTTTGGAAGGTGATTTCCTCCTGCCTTTGCGGAGGTTGATCCGGAGACCCTTGTAGATGATTATTGTTGAACTTATGCCTATGTGTGCCACTGTTTCGACATTAAAAACGACATCCACGGGTTACATTACAAAATAACTGACGGTTTTTTTCTTCAAGATTGAATAGAAACACAATAACTTTCTGTTCCAAAATGCGTTTTAGGCGAATATAGTGTCTATTAGCTTACCACTACGCTTTAAAAAACTTAGGTTACAAATTATATTTTTAGGTGGATTTCTTTTGCAAGAAGTGCAAGAAGACACAACTAACTCCTGAAAACTACCCTCCCAGTTTCAAGATACCCACAACGCAAGAATTTCCTGTTCAATTCTATTACCCTCCACCTTACAACCGAGTGTCTCAGAACTGTAGTTAGGTTTTGGTACCAATGTAACCGTTGCCACGTAGCTAATAATGGCCGCTCTGCGCAACGTCTGCACATAACCGATATTGGACGTTTACTGCATTACAGTCCAGCTGTACGGCCAAAAGACACCTTAATAAACCTACAAGGCACCATTGTTCAAGAATTGAGCGAGTATAAAAAACGTACGTAGTTTACGAAAGAACTAAAGTTAACCTGCATAGAAATGTAAGATGAAAATAAAAATGAAATCAATTTTCACAACTTTACTTTGAACAAACGGTTTTATGTACGTTTCAATCCTCCAGCTTCATTCATAATATTAATATAATTTTCTCCTGAACACACTTCTTTATTCAAAACAGGTATCGATCGATTTAGAAGACTCGTTTCATATTCACTCATGGGAAGGTTCCCGCAAACGTGAATGATGCCTCGAGGCCCAACCATCGTAGGTCCAGCAAAAAATCTTGTACCAAAATGGGGATTCGCAGAGAAGCAAGTCACCACAGACTCGTAACCAGACAAAGCTTCCACCATCCTCTCCACGAATTCGCCTATAGACCACGCCATACACAAAACTGCAGATTCTTCTCCGTACTTGTGGTTTATCACTTCTGTGCCCGCTTTTCGTAACAGCCTTGTTAGTGTATCAGATTTGCACGAATCAAGAGAAAACGTTGACGGAGCGAGATTTGAAAATAACGGTACAATAGTCTCTTCGGAATGTCCACAGATGACTGGTATTTGCAACCGACGAGGGCTCACATTCAACGCATTGCCAGCGAAGCTTCGACATCTAGCTGTGTCGATGTGAGTGATCCCACAAATTTTAAATGGGTTGTAGGTGCTATACTGGAGCATTAGAGCACTTGCAAATGGCACTATTGAATTTATAGGATTCGTAGAAATAGCCAGGAATGCATCGCAGTTTTGTTCAGAAATCACTTTGCAGAGCTTTTGGACGGCAGGGGCATTTGCTGCGAGCATTTGATCTCTGGACATGCCACTTCGTCGAGGAGTTCTTGCAACCATCACTATCAGGTTGGCATATCTCACGGCAGCTGGCAGGAAATTATCGCCAGCATAAGACACCACCTTCGGTCCTTGCGACATGTAAGCCAATTCCAAACCAATCCCTCTTACTCTGTCGTCGTCATCGTAAATATTGAGTTTCGTAATTTTAGGATTCTGCGTCAGTAATAAGGCTAAATTGGATCCAATGCGATTACCAGCTCCTACGATGGAGACCTCGATGTGTCGTATTTGCAAATATTTTGTGTTTACCCAACATTTTGTGGTGAATACTGACACCAATCTTCTAAACATGATGTAAAAATTCAATTAACATTTCTTTAGAGTTACTAAACTAATTTAACAATTTAACATCACAAAAATTAATCAAAAAGTATGGACCATGGCATCAACTTTCAAAATGACAAATTATGATCAAAGATTATGATTTATAGGATGTAAACAGCAATCTTCTTTCTCTGCATGTTTCTTAGCCAAGGAGATCACACAAAAAAGTATAAAATTGTGGTCTAACCCAATGCATAGAGTAAAAAATGCACAGCGAAACTATATACGGAACCTACGGAAGGCAACAAAGCCATAGACAATGCCATGTCATTATTTAATCAATCAAAAATGACGCATTTTGTCAAATCAAAGCGAAGGTATCACGGTATAAAATATTTTAATTAAAATTCCAGTACAAGTCAACCAGTATTCATGCACCAAATGTTAAAAACCTGTAACAATGCTTGTCGCAAAGAAACTTTTAACGTCCCAGATATCAAATATCGTTACTTCCTTCACTAGAAACTATAAAGTGACCATCGTCGGTGGAGCAAGTGAGATTGGCCAAACGGTAAGTCTGATGCTGCGAGCCCAACCCTCAATCACTAAGCTGAACATCCATGATACCCTCAACCAGACCCCAGGAGTCATTTTAGACTTGTCTCACATACCTGCAGAATCAATACTCAAGGGCTTTTCGGGCGAAGAAACCTTAGAACGAGCGCTGAAGGATTCAGACATAGTCCTTGCAACCGGAGGAAGCACACGTACTCCTGGGACCTCTAAAAAAACATGGCTCTCAAACAACACGGAATTCATCAAAATGTTCTCCAGCAAAATAGCCAAAATAAACCCTTTTCCCTTCGTGGGAATTCTCACAGAACCGATAAACATCCTCGTTCCAATGTCAGCTGAAATTATGAGGAATCACGGGGACTACGACCCAAAGAAGTTGTTCGGGATTGCCACGATAGATCACCTACGAGCCCAATCGTTGTACGCTTTGGAGAACAATTTGAACCCTCGTAACTGCATGGTTCCCGTAATAGGCGGACGATCGGGGAAGACCGCAATTCCTTTAATATCACAGGCGAAGCCGGCTTGTCCAATGAACGAGAAAACTATACAGGAGTTTACTTCTAGAATACGTAAATGCGACGAGAATATAATGGATGCCAAGAAGGGTTGGTCGTCTACTTTGTCACCTGCCTACGGTGCTCTAATGTTCACGCGATCGGTCTTGGAAGCGCTTGATGGCCGCCCAGCTAAAGTCGCGGCTTACATCGAAAATAATGACTTTGGAACTAATTACTTCGCGGGAATAGTTAATGTGAACAGTAACGGTGCTGCTGAAATGCAGAGGTACACTGACTTGTCCAAATTCGAATGCCACTTACTGGAACGAAGCATTGAGCAAATAAGAAAAGACGTTATCAAAGGAAAGAAGATTCTCGAGTTAGCTTAACTTGTACGTAATTATTTTTACCAGTTGTGCAATATGATGGTGTCTTTTTTTAATGGAATTTATTATGAAGATAATAAACACGCAAATACCAATTAATAGATCCATTTATTTACACTTAACGCGATGTTCTTACAATCGTAACAACCAAACGCACGTATCACAGAGAACAAGTAATAAAAATTCATTTAACATTGACTACGAAATTAAAGAACAATTTATATACTAGAAAAATATACTAAACTATCACTAAACTAGGAATCAATACTGAACACTCCTTTTTGGCAATTCATAGTGATATTACTCCGATGTATGAGACTACAACGCATTAAGTGTATTTTAAACTTAATATAAAAGAGCAATTAATGGTTTAAACAATGTAAACTTCTTATTATTAATCAAATATCAGCTTGTTTCATTAGATCACAACCAAACTGAAATTATTATCAACTCCAATCCACATTATTGCAATACAATTTTATCTGTACTGAACTTGGAACAGATATGTTTCATATTTAATTTTTAGTCATAGTCACTTACCGCCCTTTACATTCGATTTTTACAAATTGAACATGAAATTCTTTAGTACAAAAATTCATTACAAAATTGTTCTCTGTAAAATTATATCCTTATCCTGAAATATCAATTTGAACTCTTTTGGCTTCAGAATAATGACAATAATTTCTCAAACATAAAAAAATATGTTGTTTCTTGATTAAAAATTGATAATAAGAATACACGCTCGAACAAAACCTTAATAATTCTTAAAATATCATTTGGTGAAAATAAAATTAAAAGTAAATCTTCTAGTGATTGTGACTTGAAATTCATTTAAAGATTAATTACACACTAGTGGCACAAATTAACGATATCTTAGACTATGTACTTGCTCCTACGCCATCAAACTACATACGCAACATCAAAACGATTCGTACCACGCGTAGAAACAGGCAGATAATTCCAGCTGTAACAAAACGAAACTTGATTTATTATCTTATAACTCGGCAACGTTGCTTTAACCCAGTGGTTCTTAACCGGTGGCCCGCGGACCACTGGTGGTCCCTGGAGACATTCCAAGGTGGTCCACGAAGTGCACTTGCACACCTTGGTTAAAACCACTAACTGATTTTTGCAGTCAAACTGGTTTTGACCGATTAGGAGGTAGTCCCTGACAAGACAGAAATTTGGTAAAATGGTCCCTCATCACTTAAAGGTTAAGAACCACTGCTTTAACCGAAACAAGCTAAAGGAAACGTGATTTTTAAGCAGGACATTAGAATAATATTATATTAGCTTTAGGTTAATGTGCTATAGCATGTTAGGTTCCTAAATTGTTTTTAGTACCTATAAAGCGAAAATTTTATGGACTCATTCCGATTTATCGAATCCGCATAGATATTACCTCATATCCCTTTCAAACCAAAGCAATTTAACGCAACAGCGTCAGTGATAGATAGCCCGAAAAATACGTAAACGAAACCGCGGCGTTGTTAGAGATTTGCCTAGCTCCGACAAACCCGAATAAAAAAAAATATGGAATACTATCAATTTAAACTTACATTTCATTCCTCGTTGCTTTTACTGATCTCGCTGCCCGTCTCGCTGAGTGACGTGGAACGTACACTGACGGACGTCTCCTTGAACTGACTGATGAAATCCAGAAGTTTCTGCAAGTTTCTCTGCGTTTTAATCTGGTCTGCGAGGAGTTGACGCTTCTCTGCGTTATGTTCGTCCATGTTTTCTTTGAGGGATGCCGCCCTAGCCTCTAGCTTGCGAAGTTCTATACATAATTCCATGTTCTTCTCTTGGAGACGCTTGCGTTCGGCTAGTTTGTCTGGAATGAAGAGATATTATTATTTTAAAGCAGAAATAAATTTCAATCGAGGCTTAGATAGGACAGACCACGGGGCAGACTGAAGCTCTACTGAAATTCGAGAGATCTTCAACATGGTCATACTAATATTTCTTCAAGGGGGAGCCGTTTGCTGTCACAAGTGACTCAAAAAAAATCGGCCTGAATTTATCTATTGAAATTGCAATCGACTTTTTATAAGTGTTTGTAGTTTCAGTTGTCTATCCTTAATTTGGTTGGTGTGTTTCCACGTGTCACGTGTCCTGTCCTATGTAGCTGGTCGCGTCGTGTCCTACCTCGGCAGAGCTGCGAGTCGGGGTCGGCCCGGGCGCGTCGCGTCCTACCTCGGTAGAGCTGCGAGAAGGGGTCAGCCCGGGCGCGTCGTGTCCTACCTCGGTAGAGCTGCGAGTCGGTGTCGGGGTCGGTCGCGTCGTGTCCTACCTCGGTAGAGCTGCGAGTCGGCCCGGTCGCGTCGTGTCCTTCCTCGGTAGAGCTGCGAGTCGGAGTCGGGTCGGTCGCGTCGCGTCCTACCTCGGTAGAGCTGCGAGTCGGGGTCGGGGTCGGTCGCGCTGCAGACGGCCGGGTCGGGCAGCGGCGCGCGGCAGCCGGTGTGTCGCCACGTGTCACGTATCACACAGGTCACACCTGAGCCGGTCGCGTCGCGTCCTACCTCGGTAGAGCTGCGAGTCGGGGTCGGGGTCGGGCGCGCTGCAGACGGCCGGGTCGGGCAGCGGCGCGCGGCAGCCGGTGTGTCGCCACGTGTCACGTGTCACACAGGTCACACCTGAGCCGGTCGCGTCGCGTCCTACCTCGGTAGAGCTGCGAGTCGGGGTCGGGGTCGGGCGCGCTGCAGACGGCCGGGTCGGGCAGCGGCGCGCGGCAGCCGGTGTGTCGCCACGTGTCACGTATCACACAGGTCACACCTGAGCCGGTCGCGTCGCGTCCTACCTCGGTAGAGCTGCGAGTCGGGGTCGGGGTCGGGCGCGCTGCAGACGGCCGGGTCGGGCAGCGGCGCGCGGCAGCTCACGCAGAGCCCGCCCGCGCTGCAGCCGGTGTGTTGCCACGTGGCGCACGTGTCGCAGCACACTAGCAGGGACGGAACATCTGGAACACAAGTTTATAAATTTTAATACAGTCAAATAGACCTATGATACGTGATAAACGATAAGATTATCGTCGATTTTAGGAGTATGTCACGTTCCCACGAAACAGAAACAGTTGAAGTTGAAACAAAATTGTTTCAACCCATGTTAGTGCCACCACGTTGCCCAACGTGGTGGAAGGGACAAACTTTATTTTACTATATCAAATAAAAGGTACCAACTATTGGATCAGATCCATTTTAAAAATTTTCGTTTGCACGATAAACAACCAATTTATTTTGTCTTATCTATTGTTGAAAAAGAAACTGTTCAAGTTCAATAAACTTTGTTGATGAGTACAGTAAGAAACGTAATGATTAATGAAACTCACCATTTCTACCGCAGCCTTGGCAAACTTTTTTGATGGGTGAGAAGACAGGTTCCACAGTCAAACTAGGCGGCAGTGCTGCCACCCAGGCCGGCTTGTTGTGTAGTAGTAGGCTGACTGCAAAATATAGACATATTATTATAATGTTGTCAACCATAAAAACGCAATTTTAACCGAGGAGTAGACTAGCAATAAAACTTGCAGAAGTTGACTTCCGCAAGCTGTTTACCACTGTAAATAGCTGTGGCAAGCCAACTTCTGCAAGATTCATTGCTAGTCTAAACTTCGCTTCAGTCGCACAGGGAGCGTAAGCCAAATCCTGAATAAAATATGCATCTGCTAAAGTCGATTGTCGCTCTCCTGAAGTATGTACGAGGGCGGCACTGAAAATTTCGGGAATCAAGGAAGTGAAACAACATTACTATTTAAAAATGTATTTATTGCTTTTTAAAGTATTCTCCGCGAACTTTGACACATTTTTCCATACACGAAACCAATCATTGAAGCAACCATTGCATTCGGAAGTTTGGGTCTCCAAAATGGCCGTTTTGTAGGCTTCCACAGCTTCTTCAGGTGATGAAAATCTCTGACCACGCAATTTATTCTTAATTTTAGGGAAAGTATAGAAATCATTAGGGCTTAGGTCGGGGCTGTACGGCGGATGGACTAATAATTCTATGTTTTCTTGCTCTAAAAACTCTTTTGTTCAGTGCGCGGTGTGAGAACTCGCATTGTCGTGATGGAGGATGATGCGGCGGTTGCAGTTCTCTTTACGGAGTTCAGAAACGACCTGTGGCAAACAAATGCTAGCATACTAATCTGCATTAACCGTTCTTTGTCCCCCAAGAGGAATAGTCGCAACATGGCCGGTTTTGGAGACAAACGTGGCCACCATTTTTTTTGCAACACTCCGTGAACGAACAATTTTTGTTGGCTTTAATTCATTTTCGAACACCCAAACTCGTGACTGGTTTTTTGTTTCGGGTTCGTACGCGTATATCCATGATTCGTCACCTGATACGATGTTGTATACAGCATTTGAGGATCCTGCATGTAATCTCCCGAGAGTTCTGACGCACCAAGTAACGCGAGCCGCTTTTTGCTCTTCACAGAGCGAATGCGGTATCCATCGGGAAAACAACTTTTTTACACCTAATTGTTCATGCAAGATTATTTGTATTTGACTCATGCCAATGTCTAAAGTTGCCTGAATTTCGCGGTATATCACATGTCGATCTTCTTCAATCAGCTTACGCACAGCATCAACGTTTTCTTAGGTGACTGCAGTTTTTGGACGACCTTGACGGGGATCATCACTGAGCTTGACACGTCCACGTTGAAATTCAATAAACCAGCGATAAATTGTGGTTTTGGATGGGGCTTCATTACCAAATGCAGAAATCATCCGGTCAACACACTGTTTTTGTGTTAAACCACTTCAAAAGTCATAATAAATCATCGCTCTTGAATTTTCTCGAGTCAATTCCATTTTCTCAACGACTAAACAAGTTTGACAAGACCTTGTGATACGACCGAGAATCTTTTTTTAAATAAATAAATGGTATACGATGTTTAAAACCCTGGAGTTTGCAATTAAATAGATTTTAATATGACTGGAACAGTGGAAATATTCCATTCCCGATACTTTTAGTGCAGCCCTCGTATAATGCTTTCTACACAAAGCAGTCCCATTACATATTTTCATAAATAAACAATCAACTTTTTATGTATATTTTATTACAATAATTACTTGCTTAATAAATTTTTCTTACCTTTATTTTCAGATGATAAACCTATCTGCATTCCTTCACATAACGTTTTGTATTGTGTCTAAACAAAAGAAAAGATTATGTTATTTAGGTACATGTCTAGAGTTAATACATAAAATATAATAATTTAATTATTATTATTATCGCTCATAGGTAAGGCAAACAATTTACCTGTTGTTTACGCAGTTTGGCTGAACGAGTCTGCGGTGGATCATTGTGTGATTGTAGATATGGGTAATGGGTCACTTTCTTGTTGCGTTTCTGAAGAAAAAAAGGCAATTATTTTCTGTAGTTTTGGCTTTGGGATACTATTAGCATTAAGGAAATAGTTACTTACTGGCAAACCCGCATCATAATTGGGACCGAACAACGCTTGTCTTTTAGCAGCAGACCGCAAGCTGCGCTCTGTTCTTCGCTTCTCTAAAATTTCCTTTTGGACCGGTGTTATCAAACCAACACACCTGAAGAACAATAATAAAACATTTTCAGTACATTTGGTTAAAATAATTATTTGATACAGGTTTTATAATAAATTACGAACCTCAGGAATCGTTCTTGAGAAACTGGTTCTCCTTGATCTGGGATTGGTGGGGGCGGAGGTGACGGAGAGAGAGGAGCCTTTAGGAACTCTTCTCTTTCTGCTTTAGGTACTATCCATGGAGGAAGACATATAGTTTTCTTCCCTCTGAAATTAAAGGTTATATTCATTGGTTGAAGCAATGTATCATAATCAAATATAAACTAATAAAATATAATAAATAAAATAGAATTCGGTATAATACCACAAACAGGGTCTCTTTTAATACCACAAACAGGGATATTTTGAATTGTTAGCATTTTGGCATTTTATTTATTTATTTGTAGTACACTAAATAAGTATTCTAAGAATACTAAAATAAATTTATGTACTCACGTTATTTGCTCTTTGGATTTATTCAAAGCGTTAACAAAATTAGTTCTGCTCTCATACACTGAAGGTAGGTAGCCTTTGAATTTTTCTTTTTCATCTGACTCACTGTGGTTTGAGTTTTCCTTTTCATTAGAAGACTTGAGTTCATTTTCAGAGTCTGACATATTCTCCCTAAAATTCTCATTGTTCTCGATTTTAACATGTATTTCATTTAAAACTGAGGGTTTGAGCAGTGAGCTTCTATTTCGGTTGCGGAATTGGATTTGATGGTCCCGTATTTGCTGAGCGACATATCGGTTATCATTTTCAATGTTGACCTGTTTGTTTCTTGCCTTCAGGCGCTGTTGATATAGCTCCAACTCTTTTCTCAGCTTATCAACAACAAGTTTCTGAAAAAATATTAAAATACTTAACAATATTTTATCAAGTTAAATTACACATACTGATGCTTTGCTGAATTTATAAAGATCACTGAGTATTTACGTGGTATTTAAATTACATCAATTACATGAAGGTTAATGATTGACCTACTAAGAAACTACTGTTTGTGTAACTTACCTGAGTTTGTCCAATGGCTATAATATCTCTTTCCGCTTCTTTAACCTTTGTCTTGAGATGTATGTTCTAAAAAGAGAACAGGCGTACGTTAAGAAAATGAAATTTATTACGTAAATAACAACAACAAGTATAATAATTTAATACATACATTCTCATCATCTTGTAAGCGCGCTACCCAAACCTAAAAACAAACGATAAACCAGTCAAAATTAATGTAATAAAGTAACAAACACGAACTTTATTTTTCTAAACCAAATTACAATGAAGGACTGACCTGATGAATTCGTATAGCATTTTTCAAGTCAGACTGCGTCTTACGAATGTCTTCTTTTATTTCGTTAGAAACTTCCATCGTTACTATAGTGAACACTATAACTCATAAACTAATATCAATAATATTCATTACATTAAAAGGGCAAAGAAACAAACGTAATTTATTACCACGAACCACTAAACGAAATCGACACTTTAGAAAACTTGTTATAATAAAAATATAACTTTATTTTAAGTGAAAAGTTAATGTCCTTTAATTTGCTAATGTATTAGGCTTCGTATCTGATTGTAAGTTAGACAAATTATTGTTTCGTTGAATTTATAAATAAATTTTTCGTTAAAATTGCAAGCACAAGTACTGGTACAACCAAAACTCCAAAAATGTGTGTCGTGAAAGAAAGAAAAAGAAAACAACACTCGATCTCGCTCATTCACAGTCGGTGATTGGTTAAGAAAGGCGGAAGAAGCGTATTTTGTACTTGTACAAGCATTCACAAAAATGAGCTATACTTTACGTCATTGATTGAGCTAAAATTAAATGCTGAAAAGATGAATTATTAATGAAATTAGCATTCCTTTATCGGAATTTACATTCCCGCCTTATGCAGTTCGATTCTTTCAAGTTATTTATAATTTTCAAATGTATATTCTAATCTGCTTCTTAGATGCCAATAAAGCCCTCCCCCGAAAATTTTAAAGTAAAAGCTGATAAATGGCTTAGAACCAATGTGCCATGTCGGTACTTAATGATTTAAAACTATATTTTGACATTTTGTTGAATAAAATGACATCTCTTGCAGTGTTGCCAGAAGGTTACTTTTGTAACCTTTTAGGTTACTTTTGAACTGCTGTGGTTACTTTTAGGTTACACTAATGAAAAGGTTACTTTTAGGTGATTTTTCAGAAATTGTAGAATTAACTTTACAGGTTATTCAGTAAAAAATATTAATAGTGACAATTTTAAAATTATGTCATAAAGTGCATTTAAACTTGAATTTGATTTATTATTTGTTAAAAAAAATGAGTTTTAGCGAATGTTTTTCGATAATAAAACGCAAATCCATGAAACGTTTTTATACGACCGGTCACTTTTCGAATTTAGATGATCAATTGTATTCATTTTCCATCCATGGACAACCTTACACAATCATCGCTCCGCACCCGCGCATGAAGGTTACTTTTTATTCAAAAAGGTTACTTTTTTTTATATTTCTGGTAATTTCTGACTAGACCCGACTGGCAACACTGATCTCTTGTCGCTGATTCGCATTTGTAGCCAGTGTTGCCAGAAGGTTACTTTTGTAACCTTTTTGGTTACTTTTGAACTGCTGTGGTTACTTTTAGGTTACACTAATGAAAAGGTTACTTTTAGGTGATTTTTCAGAAATTGTAGAATTAACTTTACAGGTTATTCAGTAAAAAATATTAATAGTGACAATTTTAAAATTATGTCATAAAGTGCATTTAAACTTGAATTTGATTTATTATTTGTTAAAAAAAATGAGTTTTAGCGAATGTTTTTCGATAATAAAACGCAAATCCATGAAACGTTTTTATACGACCGGTCACTTTTCGAATTTAGATGATCAATTGTATTCATTTTCCATCCATGGACAACCTTACACAATCATCGCTCCGCACCCGCGCATGAAGGTTACTTTTTATTCAAAAAGGTTACTTTTTTTTATATTTCTGGTAATTTCTGACTAGACCCGACTGGCAACACTGTTTGTAGCGAATGCGTGCATGCATGTTTCGCGAAAAAATTGCCTAATTTCTACAATTTGTGATTTTATTCTAGATTGTATGTCGTTTTAATCATTTTCTGTATAATTTAATGGGATATATTCATAACTGTTTCTAATGAACACCTGCTGAACATTAAAAGTCCGGATACAGTTTTAGGGAGTGATTTTACTAGTAACTTTTAATAAATATTAATCTCCAAATATGTCTGCAAAAAGAGCTGCGACCACCGAACTAAATCATGAAAACTGGGATCAGGAAGACCCGTCGGAACATGAAGAAATGGGCTCATTTAAAACTGCATCCAAGGACGTTCTCGAAAAACGTGTAATCAGAACCGCTAAAAGGCGTGCACCGATCGGCGGTAACGACGAGGTGAGTTTCTGCTAATCAGATAGTATTTGTGCTCTTTTAGTATAATAAACTAACAAATAGGTATCTATAATCTTCTTTGAGAACAATAGGTAGAAATGTCATACCTATGCTTGTACATAACATTAGGATTTTGGATCGCCAATCATAATCTAATTTCTTAATTTTGTTAATTTCAGAGTAAGAAAGGAGTCTTCAGTGGATTTGGAGGATTCAATAAATCACAGCCATCTTCATTTGATTTCTTAGCAAATCTGACAAATGGAAATAAAACTAGCAGCTCTCCTGTAAGCAAAAGTGACACAGCTGTGACATCAAGCTTATTTTCAAATAAGCCTCTATCAAGTACCACAGGATCAGGCATGTTTGGGTCACAAGTTTCATCAACTCCAACCAAATCAACATTCGGTGTGGCTACTTCACAATCTTCACCATTATTCGGAAGCTCAACTAATACTCAAGCTGCAACATCTATATTTACTGCCTCTAAAGCTGATTCCACTGTTGGTGATTCCCCTTACAAAACTCAACCTGTGTCAAGTTCCAATGAACCAAGCAGTACCAATTCCAGCAAAATTACAACTGCCATTTCTAATCCATCTGGATCTCAAGTAACATCTACAATATTTGGAGCACCCAATGGGGGTGCAAATGTGAACAAATCATTGTTCTCTAACACTAATAGCAGCACACCATTCAAAATTCAGTCTGTCTCAAGTTCTACAACAGTGCAGAGTAGTTTTGGGGTGTTAGCAACATCTGCAACAGAATCAAAGGCAAATGAAAGTGCAGAAAAGACAGAGACTCCAGATGATGATAAAAAGATAGCATACTATACTAAATTGAAGGGCCTAAATGAATCTGTTTCTGACTGGATCAAAAAACATGTAGAAGAAACTCCACTCTGTATTTTGACTCCTATATTTCGTGATTATGAAAAGTATCTGAAAGAAATGCAAGATGAATATCATGGCACTGACAAAGACGATAAATCAAGTAAAGGCACTGGCTCCATGTCTGAAGTAAAGTCTAGTGGCAGCGAATCAAGCACAACTAAACAAAGCATACCTTTTGCAGCAAACAACTTGAATTCTTCACCATTTTCTAAAACAGATTCATCACCAAATTCAAAACCAGTAACATTTGGTTTGACAACTAATGGGTCTGCACTTGGAGAGACACCAAAAACAACATTTTCATTTGGAATTAATAATTCCACAAGCACAACTACCACCAGTGCAGGGTTTTCATTTGGCATTAGCACAACACAAACTTCTACTACTACTGCAACCAGTCCATTTTCTTCTACTACAGGAATAAGTTCAGCAACAAGTCCATTTTCTGCAACATCCACAGGAAATTCTAATGGACCTACAGCACCCTTTTCATTCGGAATTGGAAAACCATTTAGTTTTAATTCCAATGTCCAAAAACCCGCCTCAGAAACAACAGAAAACACCAAAGAAGATGAAGATGAGCCACCAAAAGTCGAATTCACTCCAGTTGTTGAAGAAAATAGTGTCTTTGATAAGAAGTGCAAGATATTTGTTAAGAAAGATGGAAACTTCGTCGACAAAGGTGTGGGAACTCTTTACATAAAGAAAGTAGAAGACAGTAGTAAACATCAGTTGCTTGTTAGAGCAAATACTAATTTGGGAAATGTTTTGGTTAATTTGATTTTATCTTCTGCTATACCAACTCAACGTATGGGCAAAAATAATGTTATGTTGGTGTGTATTCCCACTCCTGATGCAAAACCACCACCAACTCCTATCTTGATCCGAGTCAAAACTACTGAGGAAGCTGATGAACTACTGGAAACGTTGGATAAATACAAATCATAAATTGTACTAGATGATTAGACTAACTTAAGTAACTTTGTAGATAGCAGTTAAACTGAAAACATAATATTTTACAATTCCATGTATCAATTTTTTATGACTAGTTTTATGTAAAGTAATCTGAAAATATCTGTACCCCCAGTGAAAACGGAGTTAAGTCAAAAATGGTGATTTTTGGGAAATCGCATTTGAAGTTAAAAAAAATCCTGCTTCGTCGCTATTAGAGATAACTTGGTGAAATATTTTTCAAGTGAAAGGTAATGTTAGATATAATTANTATAGAATATAGCACAGGACCGAGCACAGATCCCTGTGGCACAGACGCCCCAATATCATACAGAACGGATACTTCTTCGCCAAATTTAACTTGGAACTTTCTGTCTTGTAGGTAGGACTTAAGCACCATATAATATGAATTAGGTAGAAAACTTTTTAGCTTATACAAAAGACCTTTGTGCCAAACCCTATCGAATGCCTGCTGGATGTCCAGGAACACCGCAGCACAGTATTCTTTCTGCTCCAGTGATTGTCTTATCTTGTTCACTATACGATGTACTTGTTCCACTGTGCTATGTCGCTCCCTGAACCCAAATTGGTGATCTGGTATTATGGCTTCTTCTTCTAATATTGGTTTAAGTCTTTGCAAGAATATTTTCTCAAATAACTTTGATAGTACTGGCAAAAGACTAATTGGCCTATATGAGCTCGGNTGCCAGCCAGTAAAAACCCTTTTGTTTTTAAATTCCGTAAAAACCCTTTTGTTTTTAAATTCAAATGAAATGGCCGACATCTTCGGGATGTGTATGTACAACTATAAAGCCTTCCTTCCTCCGAACCGTGTAAATGTTAATACCTCGCTCCCGTAATAATTTGTTGTTCCCGCGGCTTGTTAATAATTATTTATTTGTCCTGCGCCCGCGCCGACTCAACACATTCTAGGGATGTGAAAAAATTATCGATTTCTTTTAACAATCGATTATGTTTTTATATCCCTACAATGTATTGAATATTAAAAAAATATATTTCTGTAATCGATTTTAATATTACGAAAAATTAAATTAAAAATTTGTACTATAAGTATTAGGTAATTAAAACTGGATTCCAGTACACATTAGATTTGTTTCTTTGTCCGCAATCCGTAATCCGCCCATAGTGTTTCTACAAAAATATTTTTTTTCCCAAATCGATTAATATCAAAAAAGGGAACATCGATTGTTAATTAATCGATTTATTTCACTCAACGTCACATCCCCACGTTCACAAAGACTCGCGCCGCTCATCTTTACGATGCCGACTTACGATTACACAGTAATTTAATAGAATTAAATATAACTTTAGCGATACGACACGTTAGTATTTTAACGTCAGTCGATATCGAAATCTAAGTATATAGATTTCCATTTAAAAGTACACAGACAATAAATATTAACGTGAAAGTGCCTATCTATTGGTTTAGTAGACAGCGAACACAAACAAAAAGTTTTTATGTAAGTAAACAGTAATTAAAATACAGGAATGTGTGTTTAATGAAAGTATTGTTAAAATGCCTAAGTTAAGAGAAAGTGCGCATGATTGATATGCCTATTATTGTTGTTATTATATTGCAGTACTTTTTTTATTTACTTTACCTACGCATAAATAAATATTTCAATACTGCAATTATAAGTTTTCTCATTTAGTAACCTGTTTCAATAAATAATTCATTATCTATCTATACTTATAATAAATCTGTAGAGAGGTCAATTCTGTACATGAAATATATTTTCAAAATAACTATCAGGGGGTGATTAGTGATCGATACTGATGCCAAAAATGCAATCAGTTAAATTTTTGTCTGTCTGTCTGTCTGTCTGTATGTTCCTTATAGAAACAAAAACTACTAGACGGATTTTAACGAAACTTGGTACAATTATTCTTCATACTCCTGGGCAGGTTATAGGATACTTAGGAATTCCCACGGGAACGGGCATTAGCGGGAAAATCCTTTTGTAGTAACTGATAACATTTTACACATGTACGAAACTTTTGTGGTTAATGGTATTAGTCTAATTGAATCATTATACACAAAATAAATAATCATTTGTCTTTTACTTTTTGTGATATAAATTAAGTTACATTCTTTTTCACCAACCAACAATACATAGTTTTTTTTGTGTATATTAATATGAGTCATCTTATATTGTTAATCACAAATTCAATCTGAACAACTTCAATCGTGTAAAAAGTAGTAACACGAGTCGTACCTCTTGACACAATAAAAAATTGAAAGAAGCCTCCGGTACACTTTGTTAAAAGTAGACATGTATCAATATACACGAAAGAAAACTCAAAATTGGTTCACAAAGCCTTACTTGTATCATTTGGCACAAAATTATTTTCTTTTCTATACGTCGTAGAAACATACCGATTAGATACAAAAATAGCTAATTTTTCAGAGATTCACATTATGTTATAAAGTCAGTTTTGATCTAAGTCGAGTTAGATCCCTTTTCACTGGGGGTACAGATATTAGCCACATTGTTTCTTTAATTTTTGGGGAAAATGACCCAAGGAGTACCTACATAATTATAGGCTCGCTTGAATTTTAAAATTAAAATAAAAACCATTAATAATTATTACAGTAATAATAATAAACAATATTGCTTTATTTCTTTCATCATTCCAGCTTTTTTTATTTTTACACCTGCACAATCTATACTTATAATAAATCTGTAGAGAGGTCAATTCTGTACATGAAATATATTTTCCAAATAACTATCAGGGGGTGATTAGTGATCGATACTGATGCCAAAAATGCAATCAGTAAAATTTTTGTCTGTCTGTCTGTATGTTCCTTATAGAAACAAAAACTACTCGACGGATTTTAACGAAACTTGGTACAATTATTCTTCATACTCCTGGGCAGGTTATAGTATACTTAGGAATTCCCACGGGAACGGGAATTAGCGGGAAAATCCTTTTGTATGAAAAATCTAAACCGCTTAAGTTAGACGCTTGATCTATACTTATAATAAATCTGTAGAGAGGTCAATTCTGTACATGAAATATATTTTCAAAATAACTATCAGGGGGTGATTAGTGATCGATACTGATGCCAAAAATGCAATCAGTAAAATTTTTGTCTGTCTGTCTGTCTTTTTGTCTGTCTGTCTGTCTGTCTGTATGTTCCTTATAGAAACAAAAACTACTAGACGGATTTTAACGAAACTTGGTACAATTATTCTTCATACTCCTGGGCAGGTTATAGGATACTTAGGAATTCCCACGGGAACGGGCATTAGCGGGAAAATCCTTTTGTATGAAAAATCTAAACCGCTTAAGTTAGACGCTTGAAATTTGGCAAACAGGTACCTTAGTAAACTTAAAGCTTAGTTATAACAGGATATTGCAAAATTCCTACGGGAACGGGAATTAGCGAGAAAAAACATTTGTATGAAAAAATCTAAGCCACGTAACATAGACGCTTGAAATTTGGCATGCAGGTACCTTAGTAAATTTAAAGCTTAGTTACAACAGGATATTGCAAAATTCTCACGGGAACGGGAGTTAGCGGGAAAAAACATTTGTATGAAAATATCTAAACCGCGTAAGTTAGACGCTTAAAATTTGGCATGCAGGTACCTTAGTAAACTTAAAGCTTAGTTACAACAGGATATTGCAAAATTCCCACGGGAACTGGAATTAGCGGGAAATTCCTTTTGTATGACTGACTCACTGACATACCCACGCACAGCCTAAACGGCTAAACGTAGGCACTTGAAATTTATAAGGGACGTAGCTTAGGTACCGTAGAGGTGCACAAGAAAAGAATTCCCGAAATTCCCACAGGAACAGGAATTACCGGGAAAATCCTTTTGTATGAAAAATCTAAACCGCTTAAGTTAGACGCTTGAAATTTGGCATGAAGGTCTCTTAGTAAACTTAAAGCTTAGTTACAACAGGATATTGCGATATTCCAACGGGAACGGGAGTTAGCGGGAAAAAACATTTGTATGAAAAAATCTAAACCGCGTAAGATAGATGAAGGGGTTAAAATGGGATCCACGCGTACGAAGTCGCGGGCGGCCGCTAGTTATGTGCTATAATGATAGACAAAGAAGAACCAATCAGTAGAAATGGTACATAAATAAAGTAGTAGCTACCTATCGTAAAGTCAATCCAAAATTAATTATAATAGTACTCACTATTTTAAACCAAATTATTTCAAACGTTTTTTTTGGAGCCGAATACATGTCAAGAACAGTGTAACATATTTTAAAGATTTTGAGTGGAAATAGAACTTACAACCGACGGTGTAGTAACCAAGTTCTCAACTGCACCAAATCAGTCGTGTCGTATTATGTACGACAAACGATTACATGCCTAATTTAGGCAATCTAGTATCTTTCAGTAACGAGTGCTCTTTCACGATTTCGCCCCAAACTATTTTGATACAAGTCTTTATTGTCTGAACTTTGACGAAAAACTACTTCTTATTCTATTAAAGACCCACATCGTCACGTATACCTCGAAAACCAAAATAAAGAAGTTATTGCGATAAAGTACCTATTATAATATTGCAATAGTTACAGTTCCCACTGTGAGCGTCTCAAATTATACCGTAATTAACATAAAGAATACAGTTCTATTAAGAAAATCAATTAAGCTCAAAGTAAGATATCTATTCAATTTACCTTAGTTCATTGTAAATCTTTGGCGCAATTACACCGACGATGATAGTACAGTCCACTTCATACAAAATAATTGCACTATGCAATTGCACTTAAAATACAAAGGTCTATTTTGTGGTAAACGCTTAAATAAGGGTGTGGCACACGATGCGCTATCTCTAAAACATTATGACATAGCAAGATAATACAGTCATCTTATTTAAGGGCTACTTTTCGCTATAAATATTGTGACAAGGATGAATAGATTNGCTAGTTTGAGAGTAAATTAGTAGTACCAGTAGTACCTACAACAATTTCAATTATCTACTATCCATAGATTAATGAAGCTACTATCTAGTCGTCTACTTTACTGCAGCTCATCCTAGTATCCTATCCTCATAAGCGTATCTAGGGTTATTTATTTTTTCACGGGGATCATCACGTGATGCAGCGCGGGGGAGGGCGGTATGCTTTAATTTAA